CAGCTGGCCGTTGTGTCTGCCCTTGTGGGGGCTGGAGGGAATTTGGGAGCTGTCATTGCAGGCTTTTGCTTCTACCGGCCCATCGATGATCCGCTGCTTCCTTTCCAAGTGCACGCCGGCTACGTGATGTTCTGGGCATTGCTCAGCCCTTGCTACTACTGGGCGGAGCACGGCGGCATGTTCCATGGCCCGAAAGAGGTGACATCAGAGATCAAGGCCGCTGAGGAAACCAAGGTGTAGACGCGCAACAAGGTACTCCTTGTGGCAACGACTGCCGCGCGTCTGTAGAGTTAGAGATTTCTCACTCCAATCACTATGGAGTGACTAAGTCTATGTGGGCAAACTGTTTGCAAGTGTAAAGTCGTTTTGTCGAAGGACGAAGTCCTGTTCACCGCATTGCAGCTTAGCGTATTCTGGCGTGGAGTGCAGGGTCGCAGGCGCTGAGCGGAGGAGTCGCTTGGGCGAAGCCCAAATGACCCCGGAAGGGTTTTAGCAGCCTTTGCACGGAGTGCAGGGTTGCGGGCGCAGATGAGCAGATAATTTCGCGGAAAAGGGCAGTTGTCTGTGCACTGTGTTCCAATTGCCGTAGTGCTGGTGATGATATCGCTGTCATCCTAAGTCGTGCTGGTTTAGGTGGTTGCTTGATGGTTCGATATCCCAGCATATCCCGGCCTGAGTTTCTTACACGCTCTCAGGTCTGGCTTTCCATCAAGCTGGAGGTCATGCCATTGCTCAGTGAAGTCTGGTGGACACGATGCGGCTGTCGACGATGACGTGCATTTGGCTGGGGATGAAACGGTGGCGTCAATATCGACAAAAAGAGCATGTGCAGCCCAGGAGCCTCGCAGCATGTTGTTTGCTGCAATGTTGTTGGTATGAACTGCAAGGATCCCTGCCCGTCTCGGTAATGCGGATGTTGTTGTGGATGGTCCCCTTCGGATGATGCGCGTGCTCCAAAGAAAATATTACACTTTTTTCGTTTTTATGCTCAGGCCAGATCAAGGTGGAATGATGTCGTTCCGATTCGAGTCAGTCGACTAGGCAGCACGACGGCCCTGTTTTGCCTGAACGGTCTTTGAACATTCAATTGTGCGTGGAATTACAGGAGTTGGACAGCCCGGTCCAGCCGGCTTCTTCACGGTGCCTCTGCTCAGCAAGTTTTGGAGGGAGCAGCGTGCCACATGAAAGCGTGAAAGTTTGCTTGTCTCGTGTTGTCGAGGTCAACACCTTTTCAGCTGGTGGGCAGTGGGGCCGGTGTCGGACCTGCTCCTCCTGCAGTCCAGGTCGTGGAAGCGCCCCCCAGTGTCTCTGCTGCATCTCTATGAACCATGAGCAGGCAAAAACCGATTCAATCACTGGACCGGGTTGGAGCCGTTGATTCAAGCACTGCTGCTCAAGTGCCCACGAGTCAAGCACATGCGATTCAAGCACATGCGATTGAAGCACCAGGGATTGAATTACACGAAAGGTTCGAGTGCGCGACTCAAGCCCTCGCGATTCGAACGCCAACCCATTAAAACATTCGGTGTTTTGCGGCTTTGGGGTTTTATGGTTTGGGTATCACGATGCAAGGCTTGAGGTTTCCGGGGTTGCGTGGTTTAGGGTTCAGGGATGTAAGGTTTAGGCTTTTTTCGGGTTGTCGGGTTTTGAGGCCTGAGGGTAGCTTGGATGTTCGGTACGCCAACGGTAGGTCAGTAGGTCAGGCTTGCTGAAAACACCCACCCCGAAAGCATGACGGAAGGTCAGGAAACACGAGTCGGGTTGGCAAAGATGGCCAGAAACAGGACGGGCCGGAGTCGTAACAGAAAGGGCCGAGAAATAGGCTAGGCGAGATTCTGAAAATGATCCTCCAAGTGGAAGAGCCGACGAATGCTTCCTGTTAGGGTTTAGGTTGAAGCTTTTGACACTGAGCCGCTCCTTTTTACGTTTTCCGGACTCTGCAGCACTCACTCGTTCTATCTCGTTGCGGGCTTTGGGTGTTGGGGATGAGTCGCTCGACTTTTGGGGGAAACTAGGGGAACGATTAACTTCTTAGACGGTTTGTCGTTTTGACAACGAGACAACCCTTCGGATTTGGGAATTCTGCAGCACACTCTCGCTTTGAGGCATTAGGCTTGCCACTACTTCTACCCCATTGGAATGTCGGGTTTTGGTAAACAGTGACTCCTTCTGAACATCGAGCTTACATTAGCTCTCGGGCGAAGGTCCAGATTCCGGAACTCTGCCGGCCAGCGTGGAGGTGCCAACAGCACTAGCTGATCCTAGCTGCCAACTTTCTTTCTGCACATGTAAACGCATGCCGACATGGTGAGTGGCAAGACATCGGTCCTCCCAGGTCTCTCCGGTGGGATTGCAATGGCGAGCGAGATCGAAGCTGTCAGCAGACATGGCTACGAACGAGCAACTCGCATTAGTTTGCGTGACGCATTGCTCTCTAGTTTCCGGTGCATGGGGATCAGACATGGCGAGACTGAACGGGCACAGTAATGCATAATGACGATCGCGGATAAGGCTGTCGAGACAATCCTCCATGCCAGAAGCGCTTGGATCGAGAACAGAAAGTGCGGCAAGCAGCTGTTATCCATCACCGGGTATTGGTGAGCAGGTCGTCGAAGCTCGGAAGCACAGCTGCTGAGAAAGTACGAGTTCGGAAGCCATGTCTTTCCATACACTCCTCGCAGTTCCCTGATTCGGAAAAGGAGCAGTTGTGCAAACCGGCTTCACCCAAGCATTTAGCTGGAGAACGGAAGACGTTAGGAGCGCTGTGCCAAACAGATGATGTGAGGCATGTGTAATTGGTTCTGGCTCCCAGAACAAGTACTTGTGGGTTCTTGTGAATGTAGTTTGTGATTTGCTTCTGTGCGTCTCTTATTTTGTCGATGTTTTGTGACGTGCCTGAGGACATCACCGTTCAGATGGAGTACGAACCTTGATTGACATTCAGCAAAGAAGGGAAATGCCGCTTCGACCGTAGGAGGTGGGGAATGTCCTTTTCAGCAAGGTACTTCGTGGCTATGAAATCAAACTTCATTCAAGGCTTCACATAGAGACCGAACATCTGGAATCGGGATGTGACACTGTGACACTAGCGGGGGAGAGACAGACAGCCAGCCAGCCAGACAGACAGACGGACAGACAGACGGACAGACAGAGACAGAGACAAACAGACAAAGAGAGATAAGTGAAGCAAGAAGGGAAGGTAACTTCGACATGCACCGGAGAAAACGCAAAGAGAAGCATGCCGGAAACGTAAAAGGAGGGGGCGGCTGGCATCCGCGCATCCGTGACTAAGCACCCTGAGGATGAATACGATCCAGCAACAAGGACGAAGGTCACGAAGGACATGGGTGGCGACGTCTTGCGGTCCAGGCGCAAGTTGACCAGGAATGACACAGACAGCGGCTCTTCGTCAGCGTCTGAATCTGTCCAGACCGACGGAACCAACTCAGCAAGTGTCAGTCAAGTGCTCCTTGGATGCAGTTTCTTCACTTTCCCGCCAATGCAACGCCATAACCTTGCTCAACTTATTGCTTTTTTGTTGAATCTTATCATCCTTGTCTGTAAAGACTCATGTTTTTGGTCCGCGTCCCAATAGCAACGCTAGTGGGCAGTCAGTGCATGAATCATTTGCAGACTGGCACAGTAGCGCACCCCCAACCTGTATACAATCAGATTCTGATTGTGCATCACCGCGTGATTCCGCTCGTTTGCTCCACTGATGGCCAGATGGCTCAATTGCTCCGAGGCATGGTGAGCAAGATGCGATCACCAACTGGGGGGTGCTGATCGGCAAAGCTCTGTGGTGCCGCATGAAGGGGCCAGGGCAGCACGGTAAGCGTCCGGAGCTCAGAATTTGCACACAATTCCGAGGCCACCTACTCGGTCTTTGTTGCTTCAAGTCCATATCGCTGGTCCTGTATTCAATATCCATAAAACTCAGCCCATCACTGGCCTCCTGGGCATCATTAGCATAGGCGCTTGAAGTGTTTCCCAGGCACTCGCCTCTAGAGACTGTGTCACCGCGGAGGCGAAGGATGGACGGGACGAGAGCGTGCCATCCGATGGTATGAAGTCGCAGCCGATCTTGGGGAGTCGCCCACTAACCACCAAACGTCGCTCGAACAACCTGCTTTTTGTAAAAAGCCACAGAACAACCTGAAAGCGCCCAACGGACATATGTGCCATACTTGCTACAGAAATGCCGTCGATGCACAGGTCAGTCTATGCCAGTATAAGACCATGTTCATGCGACTTTCTACTGTGTGTTCTCAATTGAGAAACATACGCATCGACAATCCAAGTCGTAGGCGGAAAACGATTCAACAGTCTACGTGTAATGCTGAACTGCATTGTCGTGCAGGCCCAGACCTTGCCAGGGTTTGCACTGAAGCTTGAATTCCTGGCTTTCTTGCAAGCTTGTCTTTCCCCCCTTGAATGGCATGGTCAAGCGGGACATACTCCCCGGCTTGGCTTGCTGTTACTGTGCTTCATTGCTGGCGGCTGGCAGGCCTTGCCGCAGTGACATGCAGAGCTGCCTATGCAGTACACTTTCACTGAACCACATTGAAACTTTGAAGAGCACCATCGAGCCGTGTTGATGAGAGCTGTTGTTTGTGGGATCAGTCATCCAAGCCTTATGGTTTTCGGTGTCTCGAAGCGGATCGGCTTTCGTTGGGAGATGGTGTCCCTTTTTCAGTCTTACCGGCTGGTGCCGTGTGCACTCTTCCCTTTGATGTCATGGCCCGTGCGGCCACAGTTGCCAGATGCTCAGCACAGATTTCATTAGTTGCCGCCCCTGCAAGTTGAGCGCACTGTGGCAGAGCCTGGCGGTTTCAAAAGGCACGTTTGAGTTGTGGTAAGACCTTTTCTCAGTCCTTGAAACGATCCACAGTCAAACTTCGCTGGGGGGTGTCCTCTGAGCTGGGCTTCTGTGAGTAGATTGTGTGACGTTATCTGGATTGCACGAGAGTTGCAGTTCCGAAAGTGAGGTCGCAAACTGGGCCTCCTAGCCGTCGCCCTTCATGGCAGCACCTATATCAACCGCTTCACGGCTGTCTCGAAGGATGCCACGACTCTTTGCCAGTGTTTAGCAATGCCACTGTTTTTGCGCCGTAATGCTAAGAACGCCTCAGTCACTTGGGATTTTCAGCGTCTCTGGCACTTGCTTTTATATGAGCCGTGAGTATTGGATTCGGATAGACCGCACCTTGCAGACCAATTCGTGCGAGCGTGTTGAGCACCCAGCCTTCGCTCCATGCCGTCACCTCATGAGTCCAAGACCTTAGAAGAGGGTGAAATGTGTCAGAGTGTCAGAGTCTGCATAAACTCTCCAGGCCGCCCTCGAGAGCTATTGGCCGTGGCGTTTTTCGTCGAGCTGCCACCGTGGTGAGTCAACTCCAGGAGGGGGAGCCCAGCGGATCGTAAAGAGTAGCATATCTCTCCCACTACTCTCAAGTCCAAAGAACCTTGCAGGGCGTATGCCGATGTCACTCTGAAGCAAGCCAGTTTCCGGCTTAAGGCATTATGGGTTCATGGTTTCGGTAGTTGAGTTTGGTAGAGCCCAGATGATTGAATTTTAGGATTTCACATAGAAGCTCGTTGAGAGAGATCTTGCGAGGCTCCGCAACTTGAATGTGTGATACCACCTCAAGCTTGGTCAAACTTCCGGGCCACATCGGCAAAGGCTTAGGCCTCAATCGCCTTAGTCGAAGACTCTACCTGTAGGGATGCTCAGGGACATCCTGCAGCAGGAAGCGACTTTCGTCTCAACTGCAGGGACCCCGGCCCCCGAGAAAGACTCTTGCAGCGAACCGTCCTCTGCTTGCGGCTCTAATACGGCGTTTGCAGATTCTCCCTGTGAGGAGTTGGTGAAGCGAGTCTCTTTGATTGCGCTTCATACAGGCAGATTCTGGCGCATGTTGACAGCACGTTCTGTCTCAAACATCTGCGAACCTTACCTGCGTTCAGTGTAGCTTAGGTTGGAAAGGAGGAAACCGACATGAATGATGGTGAGTGGCAGGAAGACACAATGAACTTCTTGTTCAGCCCCTCAGCAGACTTGTTGCAGTCCTATTGCCAGTATGTTTGTAAGACATTCCATCTAACGAGCCGTAAGAAACAAGTGGTTGATCGGCTGCCTCACTGAAGGAACGGCCGTGGCAGTCTTCTGATTGAAAATTGATGCATCCTGACTCAACCACTGGGCTGCATCAGGTGCAGACTACACGGACACCCTCATGATTCTGGCCAGTGGGGTTCGACAGCTGATGCAGACAGAGCCCACAGTCGTGCAAGTACCGCAGCCTTGCAAAGTGTTTGGTGTGCTGCTCAGTTGATCTCGCACCTTGTCGGCTTGCGCAGAGACCTCAACTTCTCCACTTCATATTGTGCTCCCGCAAGAAAGAGAGCCGCCGATACCTAGCAGGGGAGGCGAGTGTGGTGACGGCCTTCGGCCAGAGCCTGGAGGTACGAGTGAGATGGCAATGTCAGCTTCCGAGGCGACATTCATGGTCAGCTTCGTGATATGCTGCTGCTGTTTCATGCGTATGGGAGCCCTGGAGCCGACAAGCACTTCGTTTTCAACGGAGATTTCGTTGATCGTGGTGCTCACCAGCTGGAGGCTCGTCAACTGATCCAACATTGATCATGTTCACCTAGAGGCTCTTTCCTTGAATTTGAAGTGTCCCTCAGCATTCTTGGCTTTGTGCAATTGCTCTGGCTTTCGTGCAGGTTGTCGGAGTACTCTTTGCCCTCAAGCTCACCTTCCCATCGCATGTCTGGCTGGTGCGAGGAAACCATGAAGACTTGCTGATGAATCGAGACCTAGCTTAACACTTTCCAGCCGGCCAACGGTTAAGGAAGAGCAGAGCTCACCCCTTGAATACACAGGCTTCGAATCTTATCGTGGTCTGGTAGGGTATCGGGGATGTAGGCGAATTTTCGGTGACATGGGTTGTGCCCACAAGCAAGCCTACAGGAGCAATGCGTGATTTTACGTTCGCCTGTAACCCGTGCAAATGCACTTCGGGTCTTAGGCTCTGCTTGCCTTGGTGTCGTTTCAGGCAAGTATGGCTTCGAAGAGGAATGCCAGGAGAGCTTGGGATCTGCGAACGGTCCCAAGACTTTCCAACTCTTCCAAAAGGCCAGGAGTTTCGGACGAGTTGTTGTGTGGGGCTTTGGCGGTTCTGGGTGTGCATTTCTATTGAAGGCATGTTGGGGGATCGCTATATGACACTGTGTGAGGCCTTCGAGTGGTTGCCTTTGGCCTGCTTAATCGATGACCAGATCTTGACAGTTCATGGTGGACTTGGAGATGGGAAGTGGACCATCGCTGAGCTCTCTTGCGTTCGCCGGCCTCTAAACTCGGAAGACTTCCACGCGCCAGAACGGAGATGGCTTTACAACATACTGTGGTCGGATCCTATACCAGAGGATGAGGCTATGCAGGAGGCTGCCATGGTGTTTGGTGTTCACAGCTCACCCCGCAATGCATCTGCAGTCAAGTTTGGTTGGAATGTTACCAAGACATTCTGTGCTTTGAATGGGATTGGCCTGGTCATTCGCAGCCATCAATGCCTCGAGCAGGGCCGCGGGTTCGAAATCATGCACGAGGACAAGCTAATGAGAGTATTCTCCGCTCGTGACTATGAGGAACATCGTAACGATGCTGCAGTGCTGGCTATTAAGCGCAACGGCGGTGCTTCCGCACCGCAGCTCTTGGTGCGTGCACAGGTGTTGAAGTCTCTAGAGAGATTCCGCGGTGCTCAAGTCAACGGAGTATAGGCCCTTGTGAGAGCCAAAGCTTTCGCCACGGAGGAATTCGGAACACGACTGTTAAGTCATATTTCGTCTCCACTGACTGGAAGTGTTTTCCAGAGCCAGCTGGATCGACTTTTACGCTTGTGGTGTCGTAAGAGATTATAGATAATGTTGCTTTCGTGGAAACTCGTCCGGAAGAGAAGTTAGTTGTTTCAGGGCAACTCGCTTTCGCTCCGTGAAGCTCGTGAGTAAATGAAAGTGCGTCTGGGCGTCGACCCCGAAGTGCAGCGGTAGTGAAGAGATGTCTGGCCTGGAGGTGTTTTGTTCAATAGCCGTGCAGTTGAGCGGAGACGCCGCCCAGATCCTTGCGTGCAGAGCGCAGTCAGGCGAGCACAAAGTGCTGCCAGTTTGGATGCTGCGGAGGCACCACGGTCCAACTGACCACTTGCCCAGATGCAGTACGCCTCCATGGGCCAAAGAGCTGCTCAAAGAGCGCGACTTGCCCACGAATTCAGTGTTTTCCGCCAGCTTTTGCAGTACTGAGTCTGAGGGACCAGCAGTTTTGCTACTGTACTCTTCGTGTGCTGCAAGGCAGCTGTCTGCTTCTTGACCCGTTCTTGGACAACATCGTGCGCTGCTGATGTGTGGAGGTTATCAGCAGTACTTCGCCAGAGCCAACTTGTCAACCTCCTGCTCGTCGTCCTCCTCCTCCTCTTCCTCCTCCTACTCATGTTTTTTCTCTCCACATTGCCCGAAGTTGAAATTCAAACTGATCTTCCACGCTGCCCTGAACTTGCCAGGCTCTTGCGGCTTCGCTGGCAGTGCTGTCCCTAGCCGCCAGACTTCAGGCACGCATGGTACACGCAACTCTGCACTGCCATGCATACACCGCACTCAAGCTTCAACTGGTTTCCCGGGTGCATGAAAGTGCGAAGTTTCAGGAAGCTGCGCAGACGACAGCCGGACTGAGAACGTTATCTCAGACGTCGGGGAACCCATGGGGCTGCCGCTACCTCTGAGTAGAGTATGATACTTTGCCTCCTCGAGCACTACGGGTGTGTCATATTTTTAAAGGCACCAACTACAAGATTTTTTTGCCAAGTCATGAGAGGAAAATCCAGCAGGAACCTGGGTACACTCCCAAGCTTTGCAACACCCGAACATCCGAGTTCCTAAACGCCGGCTTGAGCGGTGCATGTTGCATACTGTCAGATCAACACTGTTAGTTCTTACCAGGTCTTCCTTCTGAAGCTCTCGGTATTTCCATCAGGGGTTCGAAGGGGCTTCGGCCGTCCCCAACACAACTGATACCTTAACCTTGACGCGGGAAGACCTCATTTGTACCAACAAAAAGAGGGTCTTCTGAAACTCTCATCCTCATCCTCCTCCTGATCCTGGCCTCCTCCTCCGACGGCTCACCCTCATCATCATCACCATCAGCACCATTACTATCATCATCACCCTCGTCCTCTAAGCTCCTCATTCGTTGTCTGCCATGCAGTGTTTCGCAGTCACGCCGAGTTGTCCCACATTCAGCGTCCCACTATTTCGGTCACTGGCTGTCTCGGTATGCAGGTTTGGTACCGTCCGGGTCCTGGTTTTTGAAGATCCAGGCTGTCCCGTTGTCACGGTGTTTTGATGCTCGTGTGATTTTCATGTCCAAAACTTCACCATGTTCGCCGTCATCGTGTCTCCGTGTTTCACCGTGCAGTTTATCCTGTGTGCTCTGATGTGTCCATTTCAAGGTGTTCCAGCTTGCTGGTCTGTTGTGTCGGTTCGCGGTGTCTCGGTGTCCCGGTCTTGCAGTCTCGGTGTCCTGGTATCCCTTGTGCTCCGTATCGTGACCCCGGTGTACCAGTTTCCTGTTTCACGTTTATCCGGTGTCCCGGCGTCCCTGTCTCCGTATTCGGGTCCCACCAGATCGGGGCTCGTTGTTCGAAAGACCGCTGGGGCTTGAGCTAAGAGCTTCCGCCTTAAATCGTCCAGTCGCCTTCGACAGATACCTCCTGGGCAGTTCCGAGGCTGGACAGCAACATCAGCTATGCAGAGGCGGGACTTCGATGCCGAGACTTGATTGCTTCAGGCAAAGCATGCGACATGGAGTGGCACCGTCCCCAACTGGTGGGCATCAGGTAACCACAGTTCATCCATCTTGATCCGAGTCTGATTGCAGCTAGGCGGACTCAGTGAACCTGGCAGCTTTTGGAGGTCTGCATGCTGAGCCATGGCTGCCGCCTGCTTGAAGCTCCTTCGGCTCCTTGGCCGTTCTGTTTTGTTCATTACAGAGAACCGAATTCATGAATGGCACCGGATGCAGCATAGAGGGCGCTAGAACCTGAATTCCAGACCTCTCGAAAGACTTCCGAGCCTAGTCGGGGCCACAGGATCAGACTTTCGTGCGTCGGAACACGGGGCGAAGCTTGTTTCACGAAACCAGGCAAGTTTATGAGCTCCTGCAGTCTTTCCTGTAAGTTGTCAGCACGTATTCGTGGTGTCTCACAGGTAGCTGGGAGGGCCGAGAGGTGTGTGCGTCGCACTGTCGTGTCACTGAACCTTAGGTTGTTCTCTTGTGCAAGGCGGTGTTTATACATCGCCCAGGTGGCTTGTGATCTTGAGCCTGAAACCAAGGATGCAGCGCGCGTGGCGGGTTACATCGCGCCGGGAGCCTCGACACACATGCCGCCAAGCACAGCAGGCGGGCCTTGGCCGCCTTGGCCATGCCGCGTTGTCCCAATGCAGGATGCGAAGCGATGCGAAGCGATGCAAAAGTCATTGAAGTTGATGCAGGCAGCGTGGAAGGTGCTTTGGTACGGCGAAGCTGGCTCTTGCCTTATGTGAGCTTCTGCTTATCGGAAAGGAGCAGAAAGAATAAATTCGCTTGTTTCGGTGCTTTTTTGGGCCTCCCTCCGTTTCGCGGTGGCTCCGACATGGCAGACCCGGGGAGACAAGTGCGAGGGAGAACACGGCAGGCATTTCTCCAAGTCCCTGGAGGTTGCACGACTTCATTCATGAGGAGTGTAGCGGAAATTTCAATCGCGTTCTGGGCCGCGGCAGACAAGGCATGCAGCCGTCTGAAGACAGAGCACTGTACCGGTTCATGTCCCCGAGTGCCAGCCCACCCGCCAAGCGAGTGCACTTCTACAAGACAACACCAAGCAACCCACCGACCACCTATACACAGGACTCAGTCAAGTCACATCGCTTGCGCATAGGGCATAGGTGCAGGCACGAAGGACTGGCACGACACAGGTGCAGCACCTACAACCAACATGGAAGTCACCCGGCCATTACCCTCGGTTGCCAGCAAGAGGGTTCGTGTCAAAATGCTGTCTACCTCTCACAGAGAGTGGACCGACAGTCGGCAGTTGAACAGCTTCTCAGAGCACAGGCCACAAACTACCGACATGACATCACTGCCAGATGTGTCCTGTGGGTTCAATCCCCGTCTCACACCACGTACAAACTAAGTCTAACTGACTCTAACTCTAACTAAAACTCTAACCCTCTCTGTCTCTCCCGCTCGCTCTCTCTCTCTCTCTCTCTCCCTCTCTTTCTTGCTGACCCCTGCTTATGCACTCAAACAGGCCACTTCGAAGAATGATTGAATTTTATGGGCCTCTGCCCGTCGAAACTTCGCTTAGATGTCATGTTGTGCCTGCCTTCAGTTGATTTGCCCGGGCTGCTCTCACGTCCCCAGAAAGCCACAGACATCGGAGGGGCTCTGGTGGCCGGGGGACGTGACAAGTCTCTCACGTGCTAGAGATGCAGAAGAAGAGAGAGTGTCCAGAAGAAGAAGGAGACCGATGCCAAGTTTCGAAAGCTCAAAAGTGTCAGATAGACTTGCGACTACTCTGGCATGTGGGTTGTGTTTAAACCTGTCTGTTGAGTTGTGCTCTAGTCATGCAGTCGTGATTACAGCCAGAGAGGCAAAAAGAAGGTGCAGGTATGATTGCAGCTGTTTGCGTTTTGCTTGAGCAGCGTTCATGGCTTTGCTACTGTATGTGCTGTAGCTTCAAAGGGCATTGCAGGCTCAATGGCCACTTGCCGGGCCTGCCGCCTGCGCTGGAGGCCTTCAAGTTTTCGCCGCAGCATCCGTCATGAGCCTTGGACCCCTGCTTCACCCCACCCCCTGAAGGCAGGTTGATCCTGTCTTTGTTCTCAAGCCAGCTTCTATGAGTGAACAATGTCAACTCCCTGCCAGCCGCGAGAGCTGGATCAGTGCTCGGAAACATGAACAGAATCCGACTCCAGCATACTCCAGCAACAGCATACTCCAGCGGGTGCTCCGTGGCATGAATGGCTGCGTCCTGGTGTCCAAAATGCCGCCTGGTCGAGGCAGTGCTGCATGCGAGCTTGCTAGTTGTCGGGCTGCTGCCAGAAGCTTCCAGATCTCGATACTTTGTTCAAATGACCCTTACGATTCGAGGGTGCTCAACAACATGAGGTGGGGAGGGGGTGCGGGAGGGACGTGAAGGCCGTGAAGGCCTGGATGGTCGAAGAGTGCCTGGAAGACCTGGGTCCGAGCTAAGCATGGGGTTTGACATGGTGTGAGTAAATGAGGTGAGATCGCCGAATCCCGCCATCGCACCGGACCCTGCAAGTTTGGACACTGCAGGTCGTCGTCGGCTGCAGAAGCCGCCTTTCCGGTGGGCGCTTGTGGTACTGTTGCTTTGCTTCCTGCAGCAAGTCTCAGTCTGTTGCTTAGCGACGAGGGGCCAGAGCTGTCTAACATGTCTTGAGCATCCCAGAAACAAAGCTCAGTGGCCAAGGTCAGGAGTCATGGATTCGCAGCACCACCAGCGAGCCGGTTTCGGCAAGGCAGGGTCGTCAAGGTGCGCCCGGGCATTTGCGGCGCGGTGGCTTTGTTGTCCCTCACAAATTACAAACCTAGAGAGCTTAGCATATTCGTTCTGGCAGTGACGATTTTGTTCTTGTGAAGTGGGCTGTCTTTCCAACTTGGCTTGGGGGCAGGCCCATGACAGCACGGATTGGGGGCCCTGATAACTCATGCAGAGGGGGAAATAAGGCGGCAGGGACTGTTTCCACAGACCGGAGGGCACGCAGGTCTCTTGCCCGCTCATTGCATCGTTTCTAAGCGGCACTTGCAGCGACCGCAGGCATTCAGCAAGGCCGAGCCTGACGAAGTGGAGGGAAGGAGAACTTCTCGGAGCTCACTTTACTTCCTCGCTGTGAAGGCTTGAAGGGATCGAGTATCTTGAGTGGTTCGATTGCTCGGCGGAATGGTTCCGGACAGGATGCCATCTACACAGCACTTTTCGGTGCTCCGGAGATCCATCCTGAAACATCCTGGGATGGTGTCGGTGTGGCTTGGACTTCAAAACGCGCAGCGACCCAGGAACAGACCAGCAGAGACGATCCCACATCTTATCTGTTGCAGCAGGTACACATCTCATGCAGGTCCTGCGGGTACCAGTTGTAACCACAAGCTGACCTGCATCTGAAGAGCTCACTTTCCCGCTTGCGCTTGCCTGTCAGCCGCAAGGGTACGCTTGCCAATGCCACCGCGTCGGCGCTGCATGGGGCGGCATCAGGTGCCAAGGCAGATCGGGCAGTCTGTGCCCTTTGCCTCTTTCTGGGATGTCCGTTTTGGATTGCTGCCCCATCAGCCGGACTGCCGAAGCTTGTCAGTGATTCGTCCGGCTCTGCCACGGGCCATGCTCTGCTAGGGTGCCCTGCATTCCGCCAGCTCCTCGCTGTTGGGCGGCGCGGCTTCAGGGCTGAAGGTGCTGCGGATGGGCTGTCGCAATTCTGTTGTCGAGGGCATGCTGGTCTCGTGTTCGGGAAATCGAAAACTGATTCGATTCACATCTTTCTATCGAGTCCTAGACTTCAGCAGCTCGGGGTGGCCAGCACGCAAGCACCTGCTAACGTTGCTCATGGTCGAGTGCGAAGCCTTTACAGCGTCCTGAACTGCAAGGTTTTGTCGGTACCTGGGGAGCGAAGATGCCCGGTTGTGCATGCATTGCTTGATCAAGTGCAGGTTGAACATGAATCCACGGAATTAGGCTGCATCTGTGCGAGACAGTGCCGGCTTGGCTAGCCGTGAGCCTGAGCTGACAGGTCATTGAAAGCACGGCTGGCTCCGTAGCCAATTGGACATCCTCAAAGGCCCAGGAGCTAGGGTACGACTTTATGACTGCACGACTTCTTTTTCCGACATTCGTGCTTCTTTCGATTGTGATTCGTTCTTTACTCAAGTTGCGTTCGGCTCTCTGAGACTGTTGTGGTGCAATGTGCCACGAAAAGGGCAAGCTCAGACGTCATGAGAGCCAGAGCTGGATTGGCGTTTTGCGCTCTCACCACTTGGTGGATCAACATGCTGCAGCTGCGAAATAGCTTCGCTCGCCTCCCACAGAGCTCTTTACAAGCTCCAATCAAATGGTCGCAGCCGCTTACGCTGCCATCCCGCTGGCTGAGCGCTTCAGTTCTCGAAGCAGAACCTCGGCATCTGTCTTCTTCGTCACACGGTTCATTGTTTAAGAACTCCCCAAATTGTCGCTAGGGCCTAGGGCCTAGGGCCTAGGGCCTAGGGGTCTTGTCGAAACGTGGAGAAGGAGATTCAGAACGATGGCCTTGCGGACGAGCTGGCCAAAATCTGTTATGCCTTGGAGGCGGAAGGCCTGGGCCGGGCTGTCAGCAACGTGGGTGGCTTCCAAAGCTGCAACGTGCCTCTTGGAGAGCATCCCGTCCTGGCCGAACTCCTCTTGCTGGTGCAGGCTCCGTTTGTAGGATACCTGCACAAGATTCGACGATCCCAGCCTCCGCCGGGGCTTTCTGGCTCTGACCTGTGCGTGAGCTGCCAACCTGAGCATCTTTGGGTTAACGTCAACAGACCCGACCACCACAATCTCATGCACGAGCATGGCCCACCGCTCCTGTCACGTGCTGCATCAGGTATCTACTACCCGCATCAAGAAACAACTGCAGCACCGGCAGCAAAGGTTCGGTTTTATGATGCGGGCCGATGTGTGGAAGCTGTTCCTCGCCCTGGCTTGCTGCTGCTCTTCCCCACGAGCTTGCTGCATGAGGTGGACCCTGTTTGGCCAGGGAGCCCTCCACGCCTGTCAGTGGCATTCAATCTCTTTGTTCGATGGCTTGACGCGCCAATCCTAAGTGCGTCCTGGGCTGGAAATGCCAAAGAAATAAAGCGGCTGATGGACACTGGCACAGATGTAGATGCTGCAGATGCAGCTCTTGGGTTCAGATCTGTTCATCTTGCAGCAGAGGCTGGTCACATGGATGTGCTGGAGATGCTGATTCGGAGCGGCGCAAATCCTCATGCTCTCACTGTAGAGGGCTGGTGCCCATTGTCTTTGGCTGCAGCTCAGGGACATTTGAGGGTGGTCAAGTACCTGGTCGGTCTGCAGGAAGCTCTGCCAACAAGGGCTTCTGTAGAGGCAGCTCGGGCAGACGACGTTGATTTGAGGCATGGCTTTGCTGGCTTCCAGGGAGCTTTAGCCGTGGCTGGGGAGCGTGGGCACACGGAAGTGGTGAACTTCCTCACCGCCGCCGTGGAAGGGACATAATGAACCTGTGCATGCGCACGTCCATAAGCGCCTGTCGCAGCTCCTGACTGGCATCCGAGCGCAGAGCTGTCAGACGGGCAGAGGAAAGGACACTGACCTGAGCAGATCTCAGCGGTCTCAGCCACACATGGAACATCCACCCAAGCACGTGCTCTGAGCAGGAGCTTGCTGCCTTCTTCACCGGAAGCTCTCTTCCAAGTGGGGAGACGAAGGATGAGCCGGAGATACAGGAGTTCCTGCTCACAGCTTTACATGGTCTCTGTGCCATGCCGTGTTGAGGAGACTCCGAAGAGGGACCAACGCCCATGGCATCCTCCGTTGCTTCCGCCGGTGCTTGCCGCGGTCGAGGCGAGATGTAAGCGATCTTGAGCTGACATTAACCGATGGTGGCAGCACGCAGCGGCATGTCATCGAGTTTCTGCAGCCAGGTTGAGCAGGCAATCGTCAACGGAGTCAAGACCGACGAGGTGACCTACTATTTGCTCTGTACGGTTCAGCGATGTGCAGTATCGTGCGTGTCTGCAGAGTGCCTGCCGAAGGTAGCAGCCATGCCGCAGCCGCTTTTCACGGCCTTGGATGGCTCAGGAGTTCCTCAGAACTAAACTGTTCCGACATCACCCGCCCATCGGTCTGACATGCCTTTCTTCAGTTCAGGCATGTTTAGGATCCGTGCCAGAGCGGTCCCAGGCTGAGCCGGGAGACTTCTTCCTCTTTATCAAGGATGCGCCCTGCCGTGCTCCTTTGTGCCCTTAAACATGTTGGTTGTTGCCCGCCGTAAGCTCCGGCACCACACTCACTGTAGGGCAACTCCAAAGCAAGAGACCGGGTGTCAGGATTATGGATGGAGCCTCCGATACCGAATAAGCCGCGCAGAGGACTCGGTGAATATCGAGAGGCACAGCGCTAAGGCAACGGCAGAAGATGGCTGCACGGGAGTCGGTTGGGGCATGCCAGGCCACTTCTCCTGGACTGGATCAAGCTGCGACAGCCGGTTCGTCATCCATCAGACCTGCTAGAGGCGGGAAGAGGCGCCGGCCCGGATCGTCTCTGGACTCGCGTCTCGTTCGCAGATCCCCAGCGGCGAGCTCTTTCAGTGGGACGTCGTGGAGCCTCCGCGCCACAGCGGCTTCATGTATCAGGCGCACCGGACTCTTCTCCTAAGACCCGTGGCTTGAGCACGCCTGATGGTTGGCCTGACTGACAGAGCGGCCACGGGTTTCGATTTCCAGGATCCCATGCAGGTCGTGTGGTTGGTTGATTCTTGCAGGCTTTTGGGTTGGAGAGGATGCGTGTACTTTCTTCGGCACGGGGGCCTGCTGAAAATGCAAAGGTCGACAACAGTTCGGAAGTAGTATCCATTCTCGTCGCAACAAGCTTTTCTAGCATCTTGAAATGCCGTGCTCGCAGACACCCTCATCCTGCGATGCGACAAATGCACACATGGTGCAGCGACGAATGGGAGTCAGGGCAGAATCTATTCGAGTGGCGTCGTGCCTGCACCTGAAAGTTCCCCCCATGCCATTGACGCGCGGTCCATCGATGCGAGTAGTGAAGACCGCATTCTCGAGGATTAGTGCGGAGGAGACGAAATCTCACAGGGTTGGAGATTTCCAGATTAATGCACCTCAACTCACGGATCCGAGAGGGGAACCTGACCTTGTACCGAAATATACGGCTATGCCAAGGCCCTCGAGTCATCTCGAGTCCAGTGGCGCCGTTCATGTTTCCAGTCTAAAAGTTTACATGCTGGAAACAACCTCTACCTCTCCCGCAGCTGGAGTCATCCCGCCCTGTGAGTCTATTCCCTGCATGTCCCTGGAAGGTGACACAGGTGATGGGTTCTGGTGTCGAGGCCCCGATTCTTCCATATCCTTTGGGACTCAAGATGAGCTATTTGGTTGGTTTTCGATTGCTTGCAGTGCTTGGGTTTAGGTTCCCCTGGCAGGCGGTCATCAACTTTTTCAAGGATCGTGGCCCGAAGCTCCTCGTCCAGCAGGACAGCCTCGAAGACTTGGGGTAACCGGTAGAAAATGAAAGAGGCAAATCGTAGGAAAGTCGCACGTCTCAATGTATCGCCGTGACATCCACAATATTTTGGATCCGAAACGACTCAACAGGACCACCTTCTTTTCAAAAATGGGATAGCTTGGGCTTTCGCAGTTGGCTGTTTCAAGGTTCGTCTTTCGACAGAGAACCAGCGCAAGCAAGCCGCTACGCAAGCATGCACGAGACCCCGGCTTCCTATGTGTAGGCCAAGAGTTCGACTGCATGCCTGGTCGACGAACTCGGCACTAACAAGTACGTACAATGGTTCATCATGGTGTCTAATATCGAGTATTTAATATCCAAGTGTCAAGATCCAAGATCGAAGATTGAAGATCCACAGTCTGAGATGCAATCTCAATATCTAGTACCTATGTAAGTACACGTTTATATCAATGTGGTCGGAAACGGAAACTGCAAAATCACAGTCGAATACGCCGCTCCTGATACCGATGATTACTGGCAGCTCTCTCAGCTGAAATTGCGCATGTATCCGATAGCAGGCTTTACGGATAGTGGAACGAGCATTTGAAAATCAGGCAATCAGCCGTTGGGCAAGTTTCGTGCAGGTTTAGGTTTGGTAGCTTTTTAGGGTTTAAGACTGAGACATTCTCGGGAAACGCTCGAGTGTCAGCCGGGTGTAACCCCCTAAAGGATTCGGGTGCAGGGCAGGCTGAGGGTTCAACGCTTGTGGTGTGCATGTTTTGCTGTAGGCCTTTGAGTTTAGGGGGCAGGGTTTGCGCACGGTTCGGGTTTAGGGCTTAAAGGGGTGTGCATGGCGTCGGGGTTAGGGTTTCTCTCTTTTTGCGGTGCAGGTTTGCAGCAGGGTTTAGTCTCATTGCCGGAAGCATGCATTTGCGCATGGTGTTGGCCAGCCTAACGGGTTGAGTTCGTTTTTGGCAGTTCAGGTTTACTAGCACGACGACGGACTAGTGCGACGACGACCTCGACTAGTCCTGCTGCTGCTGCTCCTGCTTCGATTGCCACCGCTACTGTAGCTGATAGGCGTTTCGGCTGTCAGGTGCCTGATTGCACGTTGCAGGAGTTTTTTGTAGGGTCGGCTCGCCGACCACACCGCCTTATCCTAAAGGGATAAAATGGCCGAGCGCAACATCATGGAGGATCCCGCTGTTCGTTCTTTCAGGAGCAGCGCGCTATCGTTGCGAACCCAGTTTCGCAAACAGTGCAGTCTATGTCTGGTTTGAGCTCGGGGCAATGGGTAGACCGCCCACGCCGGTGGCCTTTAGCTTGGTTACACCGCAGGAGCAGGAGGAAACCCAGACCTTTGACAGCACCGTTCGCGCCCACGTGCAACCGTGGTTGCTGGAGGACTTGTCAGCTGCCCAAGTTACGGCTGGAACGTTTGGGGTGCAGGTGCAAAACCCCCAAGCCATGGAGGAGTGGCTTAGCCGGCCGGTGAACACAACGCGCCAGGTCTTCCAGATCGCGCGTAACTACCACAAAGCTGTTATCAGACCAGAACTCTACCACATGGTTTTGCAAAGGTTCTGGCACAAGACAGTGTGGATCGTCCCTTTGCATACTTGCGCCGCCATGGCACCAGCTTCCTTCGACATTGCCATTATGACTGTTCCAAAGATTGCCAATAAGACTGCAAGGATTGCCATTATGACATCTTCATTCCGATTGCCAATAAGATTGCTAGGATTGCCATTATGACATCTTCATGCCGATTGCCACCCAGCCTTCTGGCTGCTGGAATGCCTTTGGATTTTCGCTTGACATTGTATTTCATGCCGACTGATTACGAGCATCTGCACCAGACAGTCAAATTCAGGTCGATACATTCAGTTCCACCGCTACGATCTGACCAGCAGTGGAAAATGGGCTCTCCCTAGTTTTTCTCCTACCTTACCTTATATCCTCGATTTGGACGCAAATTTCCCACACTTATATGCTGGAGGTTCTATGTCATCCTACGCTTTATGGCGGCACCGACGCGGGAGATGCGCCGCTGCCTATGGTTAATCCACCTGACCACGCTTCCTATGCTTACGTGTTTAGCCAACTCCGGGGGACGGTGGCTCCCAACACGCTGTAGCCGGAAACTTCTGGAACACCCCAACCGACTGTCGGGACTGCAGGTGCGCCCGCCCGCACTTTGCAGAGAGGCGCATTCCTGGATTATTACCAAGATGATTTGTTCTATGCTTCCCCATGCTCGATGACGACAACTCCACCTTAGCATACAGCCCTGAAATTTATTCCACAATGCTGTCTAGGGGAGCCGACATGAGGCGAACCGGGGGACCACGGCCTTCCCATGCTCTATGCAAATATCGATTGACTCCTGCCATCGTCTCACCCGAAAAGGGTAACGAAGAGCCCTGTATAGACATGCTCATCGTGTATGTAGCATCCCTGGACTGTTTTCCCATGCCGTATGCCGTATGCTTCCGCCGACTTATGTTTTCCCCGCACGTCAGTCCCATTTCAAGGGCTGCTGACGAGTGGTCTCACTTGTGGGCTCGCTCTGCGCGACAGCCAGAGAGAGAGAGATGCAAAACCATGGCACCCGCAACTGTCGGGGGCGCACCCGCGCGCGGGCAGTGGGGGCAACCTTCCTGCCCACAGCCCTGGCGAAAGAAAGATGGTTTTGCAACTGGAATCGGCCTTGGCCAACGTACATGACGACGTGTTCAAGGCGAAGGAAGAGTTGGATGGCGGGTGAAAATCGGCGGTTGCAGAAGCACGCTGCTGGAACACAACTCGTTACATCAGGCTGGCCCAAAGGTTTGAGCGAGGGAATTTATGCGTTCGTGGATGCTACAGCAGGTGCCGAAGATCCGTATTTTTCTGGAACCTCGAGGCCACCTTTCGAACAAGTACGTTCCAGCCCAAGCAGTCCTCAGTGGCAAAGGAAATTGGAGGCCCCACTGCGGTTTATCTTGGCGTGCTTGAGTGAGCACCAGGACTTCCATGGAAAGACCTTGACAAATTTGTGGAAGACCTTGACGATCATGGCCCTAACAGAGGGAAGATCCTACCGGCCCGATGCTCTGGCATGGGCTCGCACTATGAACATGGGAATATCAAGGGGCGCCTTGGGATCACACCGCCCCTCATGGAAGTGCTCCAGTCGAAGCCCGAGGATGTCGAAGCAACAGAGCAAACGTTGTGGGAGCATTGCTGGAACAAGGTTGTTTGGGGTGCCCAGTTCGAGCTGGACAAGGCCGAAAGGGAGGCCTTCACCAAAGCCAAGATCACAGCTGGAGCCGCTGGAAAAGGAATCTCCCAGGGGAACCGCCGCAGACGCTGGTCTACGGCGATGATACACAACAACTACTATAGACCATACCCTTTTGAGGTCACAACGCCGGTGGTGGAAGCTGCTGCTTACTGCTGGGACGAGTGCTGCACCAAGATGGGCCGAGCCGATGACTGCGTGGGCGATTTTAATGTTGCCACCTATCAGGGAAACCTGGAGGTGTCCCCGCAGCAGAGACCGATGCGGGTGGAGATGTTCCAGGCAGATGGGGCCACACCGCCATCTCAAGCTGCCGCTGCCTTTTCGAATACCGGTGCAGCCCCGAGCTCGCCCCCAAAAGGGGCAAGCAAGGGCAAGACCGGCTCCAAACAAAAGGGCTCATCCTGAAAGCTTGGCTCCCGAAGTTTGGTTTGTTGTTTCAACTCTTCACTCGAAGTTTTTTCAAGCAAGAGCTCTTTGGACCACACCGCCACAGCACAGGTGGCAAGGTCCTGGAATGACTGTTCAGATCAGTCCTTTTGCGAAGCCCTTTTTGCTTTTGCTTCTTGTCGTCAGCAGAGCCAAAGCTGAAGCAACTCCTAAATGCGTTTTCCAAGCCTGGAAAAATGAATTGGAATTTCGGGTTTAAGGACGGCATGGAGCTCCAGATCTGCTGAAACGCAAGCCAAATGCGTTTACGAGGCCATTTGGCGTCGGCTTGGAGGCTTGGGGAGCTCGATTTCGGTTCGGGGAATACGGCCACAGGAACACCAGCAAAGCTGCAGCAGCTCCTAAATGCGGTTTTCCAAGCCTTGAAAAATGCATTAAGGGCTCCTGGAACTGAAGCATTTGCAGCAGGAATTTCGGGTTTAAGGACGGCGTGGAGCTCCAGATCTGCTGATTCGCAAGCCAAATGCGTTTAGGAGGCCTCGGGAAGTGCATTTGGTGTCGCTCGATTTCGGTTCGGGCATGGGGGCGCAGGAACACCAGGAAGGCTGAAGCAGCTGTTAAATGCGTTTTCCAAGCCTTGCAAAATGCATTAGGGGCTCCCTGGAACTGAAGCGTTTGCAGCAGGAATTTCGGGTTTATGCGTTTAGGAGGCCTCGGGAAATTCATTTGGCGTCGTTTTGGAGACTTAGCGAGCTCGATTTCGGTTCGGGGTGTGGGGCCACAGGAACACCACCAAAGCTGAAGCAGCTCCTAAATGCGTTTTCCAAGCCTGGAAAAATGAATTGGAATTTCGGGTTTAAGGACGGCATGGAGCTCCAGATCGGCGGAAACGCAGGCCAAGTGCGTTTAGGAAGCCTCGAGAAATGCATTAGCTCGATCTCGCTTCGGGGAACAGGGCCACAGGAACACCAACAAAGGTGAAGCAGCTCCTAACTGCGTTTTCCAAGCCTTGAGAAATGCATTACTTGTGGGGGCTCTCTGGAGCTGAAGCATTTGCAGCAGGAATTTCGGGTTTAAAGAATGGAGCTCCAGATCTGCTGAAACGGCTGGAACTGGAGCATTTGCAGCAGGAATTTCGGGTTTAAGGATGGCATGGGCCTCCAGCCTTAGGGGGCCTCCGGGAATGCAATAGGCGTCGGTTTGGAGGCTTGGGGAGTTCGATTTCGCTTCGGGGAATGGGGCCACAGGAACACCAGCAAAGCTGAAGCAGCTGCAAAATGCTTTTTCCAAGCCTTGAGCTCCCCGGAGCTGAATTTCGGGTTTAGGGACGGGGCTCCAGATTTGCTGAAACGCAAGCCCAATGCGTTTAGGAGGCTTCGGGAAGTGCATTAGTCGCCGGTTTGGAGGTTTGCGGAGCTCGATGTCGCTTCGGGGAATAGGGCCACAGGAACACCAGCAAAGCTGAAGCAACTCATAACTGCGTTTTCCAAGCCCTGAAAAATGCAGTATAGGGGTTCCAGATCTGGTGAAACGCAAGCCAAACGCGTGTAAGAGGCCTCGAGCAATGCTTTTGGCGTGGGGCTTCGGGAGCTCGATTTTGGTTGGGGTATGGGGCCACAGGAACACCAGCAAAGCTGACGCAGTTCCTAACTGCGTTTTCCAAGCTTTGAAAAATGCATGCAGCAGAAATTTAGGGTTTAAGGACAGCATGGAGCTCCAGATAGCCACGTGCGTTCAGGAGGCCTGTGTGGGGCCAGGAACACCAGCAAAGCTGAAGCAGCTCCTAAATGCGTTTTCCAGGCAATTCGGTTTAAGGACGGCATGGAGCTCCAGATTTGTTGAAACGCAGGCCAAACGCGTTCAGCGATGCATTTGGTGTCGGTTTGGAGGCTGAGGGAGCTCGATGTCGGTTCTGGGTCTGGGGCCACAGGAACACCTGCAAAGCTGACTCCCAGCACCACCCAGAACGTGCCGGAACCCACGGAACCGCCCCGGAACCCATCGCAGAACCGCCCCGGAACCTGCCGGAACCCATCGCGGAACAGCTCCGAAACCTGCCGGAACCCATCGCGGAACTGGCCCGGAACTTGCCAGAACGTATCGCGGAGCCCCGCAACTTGCCGGAACCCATCGCGGAACCGCCCCGGAACGTGCTGGAGCCCTTGCCCCAATCTGCCCCAAACCGTATTTCGGCTGAAGACCCCATAGCTTACGCTGTTGCGAAATAAAAAACAGGATCAACAAATAAATAAAACGGATAATTAAAAAATGAAAGGATCAAAAACAAAAAAAAATCACTCAAGGGCCAGGGCTTTATGGGCATCCGGGTTCCGTGGTCCTCTGGTCCCCTGGTCCTCTTGT